ACACACACACAGACACAGACACAGACACAGACACACACACAGACACAGACACAGACACACACACAGACACACACACACACACACACACACACACACACGCACGCAAAGTCGAGTCCTTGGGGTATTTTTGGAATTTGTTGGAAGGATTCGGAATGATTGGGAATTATTCCGAAGGAGTCGAAGTTTCTAGAATGTTTCTGAAAGATTGTGAATTCTTCAGCATTTGGAATGATATTGAAATACCAGGGAGCCACCCGCCAAAGCCAGAAGATACCTCTCCCACAAGATACCCCACTCGCTAAGAAGATTCAGCACATGAACCGACCTCAGCGTAGCCAACCCGACCCTCCCAGCGCGCACCTTCTCAAACCTGAAACTTCACAGTCTCCACTACCAGAAACCCAAAACTTTACACAGCAAACCCAAAACCCAACACTCCAAACCCTAGACCCCGACTTCCTTTTTACAGGTGAGGCTCGGTGCTGAAGTCGAACTCAAGGGCTCGGATGTGGCTCCTGATCGGCCCATGACAGAGTTGCATATCCCAAAGCCAGGAACCCAGAGTTTCGTTTCTGGGGGTGTAGGGTTTAGGGTTTAGAGTTTTGGTTTTAGGATTTAGGGTTTAGGGTTTAGAGTTTTGGTTTTAGGATTTAGGGTTTAGGGTTTAGAGTTTTGGTTTTAGGATGTAATTTAGGGTTTAGAGTCTCGGTTTCAGGGTTTAGGATGGCTCCGGGCTTGAGAGGAATTCAGATGCCATTTGGGACCTGCAGCGAACAGCACGCACACACCCATGTCGGCAACATGGCTGCGAGAGAGTCACTGGCATCTTCCGATCACACGAGACTGCGGACTTCGGACTTATAGGGGGGTTTCCGAAAATAGGGGGCCCTAATATAGTACCCCATATAGTAGGATCCTTATTATACGGACCCCCAAAAATCATGCACCCCTTATTTTCGGAAACTCCCATAGGGGGTCTAAGAAGGGGCTATAGATTTGCAAGGGACCCATGGCGCTTCAGATGTGCAAATGGCCAACCTGTTACGAACAAGTCTCGTCGCATGCGCCACATGCTTGGCCGCGATGAGACACTGTATGTGCTTGGCAATCTGCATGGGTGTGAAGTGGTTGTAATACCTGAGGTTGAGCCAGCCAGAAGGGACTCTGGGGGATATTGGTACTACTGTTGATGATAAAAACCCTGCATTAAGGACCGTAAACTGTGGGTATATATATACCTTATGATGGGTAATGCAGGATTTATATCATCAACCGTAGTTGTTCAGATCTCTGTATTATGCACTTTCAAGCGGAGGACCCCATGGCCAATTCAGAAGCTATCAAGGTCGCCTACGGCTCGAAAGCAATTCACGCCGGCCACTTCCCTGAGAAATAATGCTCTGAACAGCTGTCGCTGAGCTGCCCTTTCTCGCGCTTTTAGGGTTTGAGGGTGTCAAGGCTAAGGGTTCAAACCCTAAGCCCTAAGTTTGCCTTAGCTCCAAGGCGCATTCGATGAAAACCGAGGCAGTTGAAAAAATGCTCCACCTCAGCCTGGACGGTTGTGAAGCTGAAGATTCCCTCCTGCAACAAGAAAGCAACCATTGCTGAGTTCAGTTTAATATGAGGGCCTTAATAATTACCTGCACCATTTTGGGGCTCCTCATTATAAATATAGTATAGTGGGCCCAAAAACCCTATTCCAGGTATTAAGGCCCCTACATTAGAGGTTGCGATTCGCCCGGATTTACAGCGAGCCTGGGTCTTCACCCATTACAATCCCAACAACTTCATACCCGAGGGCGCGCACTCCGCGAACAAACGCCTTCTCCCAAATCACCAAAATTCGGGTTAAGGGTTAAGGGTTTAGGGTTTAGGGTTTAGGGTTTAGGGTTTAGGGTAAAATCTATAACATCTCCATACCCCCTATACTACACCCTCAACCGTAAGATCTCCTTCACCACAAGCTCGAAGACGGTGCTCATGATCTCTGGCAGCGGCTCGGACTGATCCCCCAGAGCGAAGACCTTGTCGCTTTTGTTAGGGCTTGGGGTTTAGGGCTTTGGGGTTTTAGTGTTTGGGGGTAGAGGATTCAGGGCAGAAAGGGGTTTAAGCGGCTTTAGAATTAATCTTCAAGAAGGGCATACTTTGGCTGACCTGACTGGACACCCCTTATAAACCCCTAAAGACCCGTACAACCTCATGTGAGACGGTGGTGGTGCCACGACGGCGAGAATGGGAACTAAAACTATGGTGGCAGTGATGGAGCTGGTGCTGGTACTGTGATACATGTGGGTAGTTGTCAAAATTAGGGTCCCTTTTGGGGTACCTTAAATAATAGGTGCCGTATTATAATGGGACCCTAATTTTGACAACCACCCATGTAGCTAGCAGCCGAGTAATGTCGAGGCCTTCGTAATTAGAATAGGATTTTGGGGTATATTGCACTTATAACTATAACTATAATAAGGAGCCCCCAAAATAGTATAGGTAATTGTTTAAGCCCCTATTTTATACACCGTTGCCAGCGCACAGCTTGCCTTGTTTCTCTGTCACGTGGGACCGGCGCCACGGCCTTCTTCTCGGCCTTCTCCGCCTAAGCCTCTTTTGCACGGCGCCAGAGCTCTCTGCCTGCACCCCGAACTTCTAAGGCCAGCTCCCGGGCCTTGGCCTCGGCTTCCTCCATCACCGCGAAATATTTTTTTCTTCGTGGCGCGGTCCCAGCATTGAACGCCCCACTTCTGACGTTTTTTTTCATAAGTGACGCCCTTCACAGTGGAGCCGGAAAGTCTGGGCCTTGGGGGCCTTGGCTTGATCTTGTTGGCCANNCCTCCTTCAACGCGAAGTAGCCCCCGAACATGTATTTCTTGATGGCGGGGTCCCATAGACGAGCGCGCCACTTCCGACACAGTTTGGATTTGTCATAAGAGACGCCCCGCACAGTGGAGCCGGAAGCTACGACGGGTTTCTGCCGGAGCTTCTTGGCCTCGGCGCCATGGGCTCGTTTCTTGGTGGGGCGCTGGACCACCGCCTTCTTGTCACACTCAGTGACGGAGCCCACAGCCTCCACAGCCTCTCTCGTGGGCCTTGGCTTGATCTTGTTGGCCAGCTCCCGGGCCTTGGCCTCGGCCTCCTCCTTCAA